CTAATCTGTTATTTAAATGTAATAAATTTTATATGAATTTTCATTTTAAAACAAAATCGATAACAAAATAAAAATTGTAAATATATTTATAAAGATAAAAATTATTTATTTATTTTTTTTTAATTATATGGTTTATAATATATTTATATATATACTATAGTATAAACACTAATAGTAATAATTATAACGACAAAAAACTAGTTGTTTTTTCATGAATTTACTTTTATATATAAAAATAAATAAATAATTTTTTATATATATATATACTAATCATTTACTGTTGATTTATATTACAGGATATATTGATATTAATGAATATATAAAATAAAAGTATAAAAAAATGTTTAAATTTATTTAAAATTTATTGACATTTTTTTAAATGTTTTTCCCGTTTGATTACTAATACTTTAGGTATTTATAATGTAATTTAAATTTTTATTTTCAAATAGATATATATATATATATATAAATATTATGATAAATTAAGATTTAGTTATTTATTTTTGTTTGTTATTTTGTTTATAAACTTTTCAAAATAAATATTATATCAAATTTTGTATCTACAAAAAAATAAACTAAAATAAATTTTTTATAATTTATTTGCATATTTTGCAATTAAAAGATTAATTATTTATTAATTTTTCCAGGGCAATTAGAAAATTAAAAATTGTATTTTATTATCAATAAAATTAGATTTAAAATTTGTTTATAATTATTGAAAAAATAAAATCAAAAAATATATTTTATATATATATATATTTACCGTATTTATAGCTTACAGTTATAATCAATGTTTATTTGTTTTTTCTAATTTAAACTTTTTAAATATTATTTTTATTTATATAATATAAATACTTTTATAAATGTTTTTAATAATTTTTTTTATTACACCGTTTTATAGATATTTTATTAAAATTATAAAAAATATTTTCATATATATTGATATATAATATATATATTAATTATGTTTAAGTTTATGTAAATTATTATATTTTATATATACTACTAAATCTATAAAATTAAAATACTTAATAAAATTAATACTGTTTTTATTATATGATATAAAAATCTGTTAGTATTTTCCAATTAAACTATTTTTTTAATGTTTTTTATTATCAAACAAACATCTGTAAAGATATATAATAAAAAATATGTATATTTAATACTAATATATTTAATAATTACAATTAAATACTGATCATAATTTGCTATTTATATAATATATATATATATATATATATATATATATTAATCTTATTGTATATCTTATTGAATAACTAATAAATGAGATTTTTATGCTAAATATAAATAATACATTATATATATAATACAGTAGTTTATATTGATATATAACTATATAAATATGTAAAATATATTGCCTTAAAATCAATATTTGGCATAATTTCATATATACTATATATATATATATATATTATTAATTTTGCATAAATATTAAATTAATTATTTTATGAGAAAGAGAGAGAGAGAGAGAGAGAGAGAGAGAGAGAGAGTCATAAGGAAATAAAATAAAATAAAAATAACTGTTTTTGATAAACAGTTTCATTACTAATAATATTACTGTAAAATAATTCAACAACAAAAAAAAAATTTAAATAATATATTATTGATATTAATATTTGATAGCAAATAAATATGTTAAATAAAAATAATTTGTTGTCAAATGTTATAAAACTACTGTATATTATAAAATAATATATTAATAATAATAATATATTAAAAATCAAATGCCAATAAAAATTTATTAGTCAAATGTGAAGATATTTTTTATATAATTATAATTATTTATTACAATTTTCTACAACAGTTGGATGTATTGATTAAAAATATAAAAAAAAAATAATTTGCATTTTAATTACTATACAATATTATTATTACCACTAATATATATTTTATTGAAACTAGCTATTGATAAATAAATTTTTTAAAAGTTTTTTTTTATTAATTGACATTGAAATTAAACTTTTATTTTTATTGATTAGTTTTATATATAAAATAATGTTTTTTATTTTATTTTTTTTGGTTGCATTTACTTATTTGATTAGTTGTTTGATTACTTGCTTTACTAATGTAATACACTATTCATTACATTATATATTGATTGAAATAAAAATTGATTTGATTTGCAATATATACAGTATATAATATTTATATATAACATAATGTTTACATATATTTAATCTATAATTATATATTAACTAATACTGTAATACACTGTATAATATAGTTTAAAAAATTAATTTCTAATCAAACTAATTATAGACATATAAAAACTTAAAAATCTAAAAATAATTGCCATTAAAATAATTAGTTGTTACTAGATACATTTAATAAAAAAAAATGTAAAATATATTTTAATTATTTAATTGGTACATGTAAATTTTTAACCCTATAAATATCTAACACAATAATACCAAACAAAAAAAATATTATGATGCTACATTATACATAAATTAAAACATTTTTACATTTTTAAAAAATAAAAGTATAATTATATCACTGGTTTTATTACCCCCTTCCAAAAAAGGTGCAAGAACCTATGAATAATTTTTTTTATATAAAGTGTCTAATTAAAAACAACAACAAAATAATAATTATAATAATAATACAACTAATAAATTTGTAATGATATTCACTTTTAGTTATTATTATTACAGTATTTAAACATTTTATAAATATATTTATAATGTTGAATACTTGTGTGTGTGTGTGTGTATATCTATGTATGTGTGTGTATGTGTATATAATGTGTATGTATGTATGTGTGTGTGTGTGTGTGTGTGTGTGTGTGTGTGTGTGTGTGTGTGTGTGTCTATGTATGTGTGTGTATGTGTGTGTATGACTGTGTGTGTATGTATTTCTATGTCTATGTGTGTGTGTGTTGTTTATAATATCATCATATAATAGCCATATTATTTAGCATTTGAATGATTGTAATTATATAATACATTTCAAACAACGTCAACAAAATTTTACTTAAAAAAGCAAAAATAATATAAAAATCTATATATAATTTGCAATTAAAAAAATAACAGTTGAGTCAAATTTAAGAGCTCTCTCACTATATGTCTCTCTCTCTCTYTCTCTCYCTCTCTCTCTCTWTCTCTCTWTCTCTCTYTCTCTCTCTCTCTCTCTCTCTCTCTCTCTCTCTCTCTCTCTCTCTCTCTCTCTCTCTCTCTATGGCTCTCTCTATAGTCATTAACAAAAAAAAACTAAAATAAAATAATATTAGAGCCAAAAAAATATTTAACTCAAAAAAAATTTAAATATTTAACGCTTGAAGGCATAGATTCCTCTGTAAATGAGAAAACAGTGCCGACACTGTGTGTGTGTGTGTGTGTGTCTATGCTTTAAGTTTTAATACCTGAGCGCTGCAAACACACACACACATCAACTACCTGTCCTTTTAGTGGCGATTATCAGTTTACTCTCTGATAGTTTCAAAAGTTGAGAAACAAAATTAGTTTTTCTTTCATATATATATATATATATATATAAGTTATATATATTATATATACAAGTATTTTATTATATGTGTGTTGATATACWTTAGTTTGCATTTAACAGTCAATAATGTTAACTATTTTTTTTATTTGGTATTATAGTTTTATTTAGTATAGATAGATAGATAGATATACATAGGTATAGGTATAGGTATAGACACATACATATACACACACATATACACACACTTACATATACACACACACACATGCAATAGTCATTCAATACTCATCACTAATACATGTAATCCCAGGAATTTATTATATATATATATACTGTATATTACAGTATTATATATGCATTCAATTTACTCATCAAATGAAAATAGCATTTAAACTATATATATATATATATATATATATATATATAAAAGACACACAAAATTGTTGCATAATTTCAATGGACTTTAATGTGTATTAACAACATATACAGTACAAACAGTATAGATATATATATATATATCATATATCGTATATCCCATTATCTATCCGATTGAATAATTAACAAAAAAAATAAATAATAATAAACAGTCAAACACACACATTATGTATATAATATATAAACTAAATTTATATATATATATATTATATGACTATTTAAATAATATAATGTGGGATATAATCAAGTATTTATTTTTTTTTTGGTATGCATTTAAATATTTTTAGCATTTTTTATTATTATTATTATCACACATTTATTTATAGCTAAATACATAAAAAACAAATTTCTAAAAAATAACGTTATTTTTAGTATAGTTTTATTTTCTATATATATATATATATATATATACTGTATATATCTATATACCACTCCTTTTTTGAATAAATTTTTTTCTAAACAAAAATTTCTATAATAAGAGAAATGATGATAAAGAAAATTWTAATTTTTATTTCGACACTAAAATAAAAAAATTTGTTTTATTTTTGTTGCGGAAATAGTATTTTTTTTAATATGTATTTATTTATTTTATATTTCTACAATAGTTTACAATTTTATTTTTTTTATTTTTATTACTATATATATCCATATAACCATGTTGATTTATGTTGAGTGATAATGAAAAAGTTTTAGTATTTATTTATTTTATTTGTAAAAAATAATTTTTATTTTGTTAAAAACAATATTTATTCAACTAATAATATTTTTTTAAAAATATCATTAAAAAATATTTGTAAATAATATAATAAATTTTTTTTCTAAAAAAAATTTAAACATATAAAGTATATTATTAATTATATTTATTTTTATCATCATCATTTTTTTAAAATAAAAAAATTATTTATATAAATTATATAATTTTAAAATATTTAATAATTAATAATGTTTAGTAAAATGAGCCATATTATTATGATAATAATTGAACATAATTTTAAATACATTATCATCTGGTAAATTTAAMYTATTAAAWTTTTTWAYTAAATTTTTAGTTAATAATTTTTTYGKAAACATTTTTATCTCTAAAATTTCAATAATTTCACCACATGTTGGTCTATGATGATAATTATCAGCTAGCAACATTTTCCTCAATAAATCTTCAATTAATATTAMAAAATAATCATGTAGATTTGTGCCTGTATATAAATCTAGGCAAGTGCTAAAATTTTAAAATTTAAAATTAATTAAAATTAATTAAAAATTTTGATTTTATCAAAAAAAACTTACTCTAAATTTTCGATATCAAATAACTCCATTAGTATTAAACCTAAGCTATAGATATCCATTTTTTCATTATAGGGCACCCGTAGGYTATTATCATCATCATCATCATCATYGGCATCATTGGYATCATTGGCCATAACTTCAGGTGCCCTATAATTTTTAGTACAGGCATTACCCGAATGYMGATCACTGCCATACTGTRGATCATCYSTATTACGGTTATGCTCAGTGGCCATACCTACGGTGTAGTGTTGACCAACAACAACAAAAAATAATTAAATGAAATATTAAAATAAAAATAATTGAAAAAGTTTCTTTAAAAAGTTTCTAATGGAAATTTCTATCTATAGTTAAATTTGTTTTCTTAATGTATTGTTATTTATTTTTTAAAAAAACAATACATTTGTTTTTACATAACTAATAATTAATTATTATTATTATTAGTAGTATTTTAATTATTAATTAATTTAATTATACTAATAACTTAGATATATAATATATTTTATATAGTAGTATATGTATAGTATTATTATATAATCTCATATTAATATAGTATTACAATAGTTTTAGATATAGGGGTGGGTGATGGGGGGTAGGGATGGGAATAACAATAAAGTTAAAATTTCTATAGAAATTTATTCCATTAAGAAATTTCCTAGAAAACTTGATCCAGTGAAAAAATTTTATTAAAAATATCTATTACCTAGGTCACATAATTTTAGTCKACAACTACTACCACCAATCATAGTGTCGTCCACTTGTTTAACATTGATGAGTATGTTTTCCGGTTTAAGATCCCGGTGTATAACCAACGGTTCGCTTGTATGCAACAAATTAACACATTCTAACAACTCTAACATTAGATGACTAGTCAGATAAAACTCCATTGAATCTAACGGTTCTCCTCCACGGGATTGTCGACCAAATACCCGGCCTTTTTGTTCAATAATATCCCGCAAACTGTGACTAATTAACTCCATTTGTATGTATAGGCCGTCCGATTCAAGCCATGCATCGAAATAGTTGACAACATATTGTGAACGAAATTTTAGTAAACTTTTTATTTCATCGATTAAATTGTTAGTTAAATAAGTTTCTGTAAAATATTAATAATAATAACAAAACAAACATTAAATACAGAGTCTTAAAAACAGCGGCGGCGGCGGCGGCKATGCTAWTAATTAAAATTATCAAGGTMAAMAATACGTTTTRAWTTAAAAAGTGACCAAGGTGRCAATGTTGTAGATAAWTTTTTWTTACTGGATAAAATTGTAATTGGTCATTTTTTTAATTAATTGTATCAATTGCCAGATAATTTACAGTCGACTATCATTTATATATWTWWTTWTAAAAAAAACAGTCGACTGTAAATTATCTGGCATATAATACAATTAATTTTTAAAAAATTACCAATTACAATTTTATCCAGTAAAAAAATTATCTACAACATTGCTACCTTGGTTATTTWTTAATTCWAACGTATTGGTTGACCTTGATCATTGTAATTAATAGCATAGCCGCCGATGTTTAAGATTATGTCCATTAAATATAATTAACAAAAAATAATAATAAAAAAATTTATTCAAAAACCGTAATCAATAGACTTGATTGCCGACAACTGTTTTGTATCGCGGTCTTCAACTTTATATACCCGTCCATAACCTCCCGAACCAATTAGTTTTAGACATTGAAATTGCTGATGAAAATAGCCGTCAATTTGTCTAATTTGTGAATATTTTTCATTATACATATGTATATCAATTGTTTGCCATGTTTTACGACATTCAATAGCAAATAAATCGTCAAAATTATTGTAATATAATTTTGTTAGTTTTAGATAATCATCAAAACAATAGTAGTTATTATTATTATTATTATTATAAGTATTATTATTATTATTATTATTATTATTATTATTATTATTATTATTATCTTTGTATATCACGGTTGTTCCGGTGTGATCACAGTTGTGTCGGCCACTTTTGGTGGCAGAGACACGACTGGTTAGACTCAACTCAAATCTAGTACTTTTCTGACTGTTCTACAACTCTGAAGTATCACTGCTTTTTGCATTTCATAGATCTTAGTTTTTCTGATTTCCAGTGATTCCAAACTTAGGGCCAGATTTTTCGGTATTACGGCCATTGATGACAGTATTATAGGTATTATTTCAACTTTCTTAATGCGCCACATCTTATTGATCTCATAGGCCAAGTCTGTATATTTCCGACGTTTCTCACTATGCGTGTCCTGTAATTTATGTGTTAGTGGGACCGCTATGTCTATTATATACGCCTTATCTTGATGTTTGTCTACTAGGACTATATCTGGGCGGTTGTGGGCCACAGTCTTATCAGTTCTTATTTCTTTATCCCAGTAGAGCTTGGCGCTGTTGTTTTCCATTACACTTTGTGGCTCGTATCTATAGTATGGTAATGGGTCTTTGATTAGTCCGAATCTTATTGCCAGTTCCTGATGTATGATCTTGGCTACTTGATTGTGACGGCTTAGGTACTCGGTATTTGTGAGTACTTTACACCCATTTAGTATATGTTCTATTGTTTCGGACTCCATATGACACATCCTGCACTTGTCTGTTGGTATGTTTAGCTTTTGGATATATTTCTGATGGTTACGGGTCGGAACCACTCGATCTTGTATTGCCATCATGAACCCCTCTGTCTCTCCGTGAAGACCGGCGTACTTCAGCCATTTTGTAGACATTTCTTCGTCTACGTGTGTTTGGTTGAGTTCTGCCCGGTATCTTCCGTGGAGTTCTTTTGAGGCCCATGTGTTAATCCTCTCTTTTTCATTTTGTATATCTATTTGATGTTCAATATTGCTGAGGTTTAGAGGTGTGTAGTTGTAATCGAGTGTTGATGTTATTTTGTGGAGCTCTGAGACATAGCATTTTTGTTGATGGTATTTTCTCAACAGTTCTCGCTGTTTGGCCTCAAGGCTTACAATGTTTAGTAACCCTCTACCCCCATGCTTTCTACTAACACACAGTCGTGCTACAGAACTTCTAGGGTGGTGTAGTCCAAACATTGTAAGTTGTCGCCTTATATGTCTTTCAATGGTCTCAAGTTCTGTTTTACTCCATTTTATTATTCCGAACGAGTATGTCAGTACAGGTATAGCCCAAGTGTTTATGGCTTTGAATTTGTTGTTTGAGTTTAGTTGAGATTTTAGTATTTTTATTATTCTTTGATTTAATGTTTTCTTTATTTCTTCTTTAACTTCTGTCATTTTAGATTTATGCATTTGCTTAATTCCTAAGTACTTATATATATCTCCATTTTCTAGTGCCTTTATATATCCGTTTTCAGTTTCGTATTGATTTCTTTCAGAATAGACTCCTCTTTTCAGTTTCATTATAGCACATTTATCTAATCCGAATTCCATATTTATATCATTGGAGAAAGTTTCTGTTGTTTTTAGCATTGCATTTAAATCAGATTCTTTTTCGGCGTATAGTTTTAAGTCGTCCATATATAGTAGATGTGTTAGATTATATTTTGTATCACTTGATTTTACGCCTTTTAGCTTTTTAAGTAGTGATGACAGTGGGTTTATGGCTAAGCAGAACCACAGAGGACTGAGTGAATCTCCTTGAAATATTCCTCTATTTATTTTGATTTCTGTACTTATTTTTGTTCCATTATTTGTATTGACACACAATTTAGTATTCCATTTTTTCATCATATTTTCTAATGTGTTTATCAGTGTGTTGTCAATTTTATATAGTTTTAACACTCTTAATAACCATTTATGAGGGACTGAATCGAATGCTTTCTTATAGTCTATGTATGCCATTTCAAGATTTCTATGTTTTTGACGAGCTCTTATTGTTATGATATTGTCTATTGTTAATTGCTCTTTGCAGCCCATCGAGTGTTTTATACAGCCTTTTTGTTCTTCAGCTATTATGTTGTTGTTACTTAAATGATTATATATTTTTGTTGATATTATGGATGTTAGGATTTTATACATTGTTGTTAGGCAAGTGATGGGTCTATATTTGCTGGGATCTGATGTATTTTCTGTTTTTGGGAGTAGATATGTTATTCCGGAAGTGAGGAAGTCATCGGTTTGTCCTGTTTGTATTATTTTATTCATTGCTATTGCCATTGGTTGATGAACTGTTGTAAAGTGTTTATACCAGAAGTTTTGTATTTTGTCTTGTCCTGGGCTTTTCCAATTGTGGGATTTCTTGAGGGCTTCGGTTAAGTCATCTTTAATTATATTTACTGAAGTCATTTGTGGTATTTCTTTATTTTCATCTTCAATATCATTTATCCAATTAGATTCTTTATATTCCTTTGGGTTACTCCAGATTTCTTTCCAGTAGTTTTCTATTTCATCTATTTGTGGTGTATTGTTATTATTGCTTGAATTTATTTTATTTTGATTTCTATAGAACATTTTTTCGTTATTATAGTACATTGTATTTTGTTTTCGTCTTTCGCTTTGTATTTTATATCTTCTAATTCTTTGTGATAGTGCTTGAACTGTTTGTTTTAATGTGTCGTTGTAATTTCGGATTATGGATTCAAATTCAGGTTTTCCAGGTTTTGTCTGTAATGATCGGTATATATCTTTTAATGATTGGTTAAGTCTTTTTGATTTGTTTCCATTTAACACTTGCGTTATTCTTCCAATTATTTTTCTTTTCCCTTCTATCCGTGTCTCTATTCGCTTTTGCCATTTAGGTATTACATTTTCTTGATTTGGTTTTGTTGTATACATGTGTTCTATTTTGTAGCCTAAGAGTCTCGATACTGCTACTGCTGCACAATACGTTATTGTATTAATTGCGCTCAACGACATATTTTCTTCGATGTAATCTTTAAGTATATCATTTATCGTTATTATAGTAGATCTTGTTTTAATGCCACTTCTTATTTTTGGTAATTTAGGTCTGAATTCTATTTCAAATTCTTTATATTGTTCTAAAGATGTTTTTAGTTCATTTTCTGCTGTTATTCTGTTTATTTCATCATTTTTATTGTTTATGTTATCTGTTGTTGTAGGTGTCTCTTCTATTTCTGGCACTACTTCTACTGTGGTATTTAATTCAGTTGTTTCATTTAATGATAGTTCATGTGCCACTTGTTGTTTGATTTCTTGTAATTCAATCGGAGATATTTTATTATTCTTTGCTAAGAATCGCCGTTGGTCTGCAATTCTTTGTTCCGTTACATTTAGTTCTGGATATTTTTGTTTGAATGCTAAGTATATTTGGTTTCTGTAATCAGTCATATTTGTTTCGAGTCGAGTTGATCTGTAGTATTCGCGCATTATCAAGGTATTCATCTCATGTGTCCATCTCATGCGCTTTTGCGATTTGTCAACCAAATTGGTCAGTTGTTGCTGAGAACCAGCTTGAACTGAAACATTTTGGAGGTTAGTCTGATTTTGTTGACTAGTCTGCGGTCGCATTACATCACAGCTTTGCCCGCATAGCACATCACTGCGTGGGATATGATGCATACTTAACGAACTGCAGTCAATGCCTACCTGCTGAACGCGGGATTTATTTGAGAGGGTACCTCCCGAACACCCCCCGTTATTCCTACGACTACGTGTAATCATATTTATATATTTTGTGGCCTTTTTACGGGGTCCCGGTCCCTAGAGAAAGCTCAACACTAACATGTGTCTATTGCCACCCATTTCTCACCACTAACATGTGTTTGTTGAAATAGGATTTTTATTTTTTGAAACAAAAGTGGCCATTGCGTGTGAGGACGAGTAACTACTCGAAGGGTGAAGGGACATCCTTGCGGACGTCCCTTCGGGGTGGGGGCACCTTTTTACAGGCACCCCCGGGTGGGAGCACCCTTGCGGGTACCCCCAGGTGGGCACCGATACCGAAGTACCGATACCCGGGTCGGGCAGAAACTCGTCCTCACTTAGCACCCCGCTTTCCCCATACTACTTAAGTTGGCCGTCCTAAACAGCGTTGGTTGGGCAGGGACGGGAAGCACAGTTAAAACAATTTTTTTTTTCAGAAAAATTGCTTTACCACATCGGGGCTCGAACTATAGATCTTACTCTCCATTACACTACATAGCCCTACACACTAACCACTACACCACTGTGCCTCCTTTATTATTATTATTATTATTATTATTATTATTATTATTATTATTATTATTATTATTATTATTATTATTATTATTATTATTATTATTATTATTATTATTATTATTATTATTATTATTATTATTATTATTATTATTATTATTATTATTATTATTATTATTATTATTATTATTATTATTATTAGCGTATATATAATTATCGCGTATATCTATAACAAACATATTAGTCAATAGTAGGGTCGGCCTATCGTATACATTGTYGCCAACAAATCCCATATAATACAACTGTCCATTGTTTGCCAGAAAATATGTCTGAAATTTGAAATCCGATATACATTTGACGTCAACTAACAACTCCGGGTCCAATAGTTGCGGTCTGTATATCCKATTCAATGTATYSCCRGTAAACCKGTCGCGTCCCCAACGATATACCCGTCCATCACTCGTACGTATAGCATATGAAGTATTGGTAAAACAATATATAGATTTAATTACCGTATTTGTGGGTAATAAAACACGGGTAGGCAATAGCAAACGTGTGGTTAGCAAACCCGTACCGCACTGTCCCCATCGATTATCGCCCCAACCGTAGACAACTGCCCCATCAGTGGTGGTCAAGGCTAGCGCGTGTTGATAACCGCACTGGACTTCGGCGATCWGTTTGTTGTCCAATAGCCGGATGGGCGCCGGTTTATAGTCGTGACTGGTGCCGGGAGTAGYAACTCTACCCAACTGTCCCCATGTATTGTAACCCCAACTATACAGCCGCCGTCGGCCGCCGCCGCCGCCATCATAGGTCAGACATATGGCAAACGAGTCGGCTATACGAAAACTGACCACTTGTTTACCGGACAGTTCGGGTATTAGTTGCGGTTCGTCGACAAATATATCGTCCATATCTAGCCGTGGACTCAGTTGACGGCCTAATGAATAGACCCGATCATTGGTGACGGTAGTGGTGGTGTCGGTGCCGACATCATTGTCATCATCGGTGACAACATATAGACCAGTGTCTCCCGACTCRCCCGCGCAATGGACAAGTTTGATACGGTATTTAATGTAGCCGGGTACTTTATTGAATATTTCAAAATTGTCTAACAAATCAATGCCAGACATAATAATAATAWTGTTTTTTTTATTAATTAATTAATTAAACTAATAATTATTATTAAATCACTTAATATTAAAAATATTTTTGTTGTATTATTATTA